CGTCTCAGCTATCTGATTGACTGTCATGGTATTGCAGTGCTTGTGTTCAAGTAACCCTTGTCTTACTTAATAATGGCCCCAAAGTGCAAGAGTAGTGATGCTGGCAATTTGAATACGTCAAAGAGAAACCATAAAGTGCGTCCTTTAAGTGAAAAGGTGACAGTTCTTAATAAGGAAAGAAAAAAACGTATGCTGAGGTTGCTAAGACCTATGGTAAGAATGAATCTTCTATCTGTGAAACTGTGAAGAAGGAAAAAAATTCATGCTAGTTTTGCTGTCGCACCTCAAATATGTATGTACAATAGGAAAAAACATAGTATGTATAAGGTTTGGTACTATCTGGGGTTTCAGGCATCCACTGGGGGTCTGGGAACATATGCCCCGGGGATAACAAGAGTGGGGAGGTGTTCTGGAGTTGTTGAGTAGGCTCTAGAAGCCACCTGAGTCTGAGCTGACAGAGTTAACATGAAGTCAGCCTCCTCACAGTGAGACCCCATCTCTGAGCCATCCCTCCCCCGTTTCTCCTGCGGTAGACATTCTACTCTATTGTTTCTCCTCATTTTTAATATCCCCTGAGACACTTTCCAGTCACCCTGAGCTGCCTACCTGGGCTGTCCAAGTTATCTCCATGGTACCCATTATTGTTTGGTTAGCGCTCTGGTTACAAAAGTGCATGGGTTTTGAGTAGTCTACCCTGACTTTTCCCCCCAACTCTTGTGGGTTTCGGTGTGGCAGTTTGTAGAGAGTGACTGGCTTGTCTTCATCTCTGTATGGTCATCACAGTGGACTGAATGTTTATGTCCTCCCCAAATTCATATGTTGAAATCCTTCCCCCTACTGTGATGATATGTAAAGTGGGGTCTTTGGGAGATAATTAGGTCATGAGGGTGGAGCCTTCTTGAATGGGATTAGTGCCCTTAGAAGAAGAGGCCAGAGAGCTGGCGAAGCTAGTTGTTTTTCCACCACGTGAGGCTACAACAAGAAGACAGCAGTGTGCAGCCCTGAAGAGGGTCCTTAGCAGGAGCCCAACCATGCTGGCACTGTGATCTCAGACTTCCAGCCTCCAGAACTGTGAGAAATAAATGTTTATTGTTTAAGTGCTCCAGTCTATAATTTGTTTCCTGATCTAAGACAGTTATGGTTAGTTTTTTATATCCTAGAATTTTGAAGTCCTTTAATATAGGTTAATAAGCTATATCATCTTCCTGGCAGGTAAATGAAATTTAAAGGAAGGTGCCCACAATAGTCCCTGATGCTGGGTCCTGCCTTTCAGTGAGGTCTTGATTCCCTTCCATGTCAGGATCCAGGTTCCTGGAAACCAGAAACTCTGGTAAAGAGGAGCTAACATGCCATTGTCTTTATTGAGACTGTGCTCTTCAAAAGTGTTTCTTGGTCTTTGTGCGGGGCTATGTGCAAGCCTAGGTGTACAGATATAGTCCCTATCCTCTAAGAATTTAACAATTTAAGAAAAACAGTGAACATGAGCATAGGTGTTATAGCTGTGGTGACATGCAAACAAAACAAACATGAAAAATTCAGCCAATTTTGTGGAATGTTTTAGGATGAAGAACCGCTGAAGAGTGATGTAAGTATTGTGCTTGCTCTGTGTACGCCAGGGTGACTGTGTGTGGCAATAGAGTGAGGAAGAGGGCCGTTAGTGCTTAGGAGTAACCACTGTTACTCACCAAGACTCACTGGGAAGACTTTCACTGTTCGTCGTAGAAACCAGTGGTAACACAAAACGACTTGATTTCATCATCATAGGTTTCTTTGAAGAAAAGTACAACCCAGATGCTAAAACCCTTGATCCAGGTGTGATGATCAGCCATTTGTTAGTTGTGTGACCTTGGGCAACTTACTAAACCTCTTGGTGCCTGCCTTTCCTTATGGGTCAAAAAGGGATAATATTGGTGCATACCTCATAGGGTTGTTATGAGGATTAAATCAGATACTAAATATAACATTCCTAGATAATATCACGGTAAGCACTCAAAGGTTGCTTGTTAGAAAAATATTGAAAATACTCTCTATCAGAAATGGATCCAGCAGGCAGAAAATCAATAACGACATAGTTGAATATAACAACATCCATCAATCAACTAGATATAATTGACATCTATAGACTACTTTATCCAACAAGAGCAGAATATACATTCTTCTTCACTCAGAAGGTAAAAACGACAAACACACATCAACAGAGCTTAGATTGGTGGTTACCAGAGGGGAAGGGGGGAGAGGGAGAGAGAAAGGGGTAATTAGGCACATGTGTGTGGTGATGGATGGTAATTAGTCTTTGGGTGGTGAACGTGTTGTAATCTACACAGAAATCAAAGTATATGACAATGTACACTTGAAATTTATATAATGTTATAAACCACTATTACTGCAATAAAAAAAGAATCAAAAATTAAAAAAAAAGACCCCCCACCCAAAAAAAAGAATATACGTTCTTCTCAAGCTCACATGGAACATTCACCAAGATAGACCACATTCTGGGCCATAAACACACCTTAACAAATTTAAAGAGATAGCAATCATACAATGTGTGCTCTCACAACACATTGTAATTAAACAAAAATCAACAATAGACAACTGGAAAATGTCAAAATATGTGGAGATGAATTGACACACCTACAAATAACACATAGGTCAAAGAAGAAATCCCAGGATGAATTTAAAAATACTTTTAACTAAAAATGAAAGCATAACTTATCAAAATGTGTTGGATGCAGAGAAAGCAGTACTTATAGGGAAATCTGAGTATCAAATGTGTATATTAGAAAGGAAGAAAGATCTGAAATCAATAATCAAGTTTCCACTTTAGGAAACTAGAAAAAGAAGAGGAAACTAAAACTAAAGTAAGCAGAAGAAGTAATACAAATTAGAACAGAGATCAGTGAGATTGAAAATAGGAAATCAATTGAGAAAAGCAATGAAACCAAAAGCTGGTTATTTGAAAAGATCAATAAAATTGATAAGCCTCTAGTGAGGCTAACTAAGGAAAGAAGAGGGAGTGTACAATTACTAATATCAAAAATAAAAGGACATCACTTCTGATCCCTTGGATGTTAAAAGGAAAGGGAATAATGTGAACACAAATTTGCTATCTTAGATGAAATGGACCAACTCTTTGAAAGACACAGTCTTTCAAAACACACAAGAAGAAATAGACTATCTGATTAGGCCTCTATCTATTAAATAAATCAAATAGTTACCTTCCAAAACAAAAAGCACCAGGCCCAGATGTGTTTACTGGTGAATTCTGCCAAACATTTAAAGAAGAAATTATGCCAGTTCTCTACAGTCACTTTCAGAGGATAGAAGCAGAGGGAATAGTTCCTATCTTATCCTATGAGGTCAGCATTAACCTAATACCAAAAACAAAGACATTAAAAAGAAAAGAAAACTACAGATCAATATCTCTCATGAACTTAGATTAAAAAATCTTCACAAAATATTAGCAAATTGAATCCAAGAATGTATAAAAAGAATTATACACCATGCCAAGTGGGATTTATCCCAAGTATGCAAGGCTGGTTCTTGATTCGAAAATCAGTTAATGTAATCCATCATATCAACAGGCTAAAGAAGAAAAATTGCATGATCATATCAATAGATGCAGAAAAAGCATTTGACAAAATCCAGCACCCATTCATGATTTAAAAAAAAAAACTTAGGAAACTAGGAATAGAGGGGAACTTCCTCAACTTGATAAAGAATATCTACAAAAACCTTACAGCTAACATCATACTTACTGATGAGAAAGTAGAAGCTTTCCTGTTAAAATCACAAACAAGGCAAGAATGTCCCCTCTCATCACTCCTTTACAGCATCATACTTGAAGTCCTAGCTAATGCAATAAGACAAGAAAATAAAAGGAATATAGATTGGGAAGGAAGAAGTAAAACTGTCCTTGTTCACAGATGACGTGATCATCTATGTAGAAAATCCAAAAGAATTGACAAATACTCCTGGAACTAATAGGTATTATAGTAAGGTTGTAGAATACAAGGTTAGTATACAAAAGTGAATTGCTTTCCTGTATACCAGCAATGAACAAGTGGAATTTGAAATTAAAAACACTTTCCTCTTGGGGCCAGCCTGCTGGTGTAGCGGTCAAGTTCATGCACTCTGCTTTGGTGGCCCAAGGTTCACAGGTTCAGATCCTGGGTTCGGACCTATGCGCTGCTCATCAAGCCATACTATGGTGGCATCCCACATGCAAAATAGAGCTAGATTGGCACAGATGTTAGCTCAGGGAATATATATTCCTCTCAATTTTGCTGTAAAAGTAAAACTCTAAAATAATAAAGTCTTTTAAAATATATATTGAAAATACAGAATTTGTGAGTTTAGATGATACTTTGAGCTTGCTTTTTACCTTTTGATTTTTGAAGTGAGTAATCTTTGTTATGGTAACAACATGGAAAAAGCTGCCTTCCAGAGAATTTGTTCCTTAAACTTATTCTTTAATGCAGCAAAATAGAATTCTTTGTGATTTGACACATAACTAGGTAGTAGTCTCTTATGTAAGTTATTTAGTAAGATAGTTATTGTCTGAAAATGGATATTATTATTTTAGTGTTAAAAATAGATAGGCAAGGGGTTAGGGACAGAAGGGGGGTTGTGGGGATGGAGGTGGGTGTGCTTGTCAAAGGGCAACATCAGGGATCCTTCTGGTGATGAGGAGTGTTCAGTGACTTGACTGTGGTGGTGGATATGTGAGCCTACAGGTGATAAAATTCTGTAGAACTAAATACACACAATCTAGTACAATGAAACTGGGGAAATCTCAAACGACGAGTGGGTTGTATTAATATAAATATACTGATTGTACTTTAGTTTTGTGAAATGTTACTATTGGGCGAAACTAAGGGGTACTCAAGATCTCTCTTAAAACCACATGTGAATCTGCAATTATCTCCATAAAATTACTATCAAACAAATGCATGGGCAACTATTAGATAAAACTAGTAAATAATTTTTATTTTTGTTTTTAGGTTGTTCCCGCCTGATTGACAACATAGTCATCATTGGCTTTTGTAAGTTGATATTTAAATTTTTTTATTCTCCGCCCCCAACATTTTGTATTTTGTAGTTACATGAGAGTACTTTTCTAGAGAAGTTAGAGCAAAACTTTTTAATTATTTGTTGCTTATATTATTTTAAGGTCTGTTTCACTTTTCTGATACCATTAGATGATACATAGTTATTTTGAGGAAGTTTGAACTACACATCTTGGGCTAGGGCCATCTGTTTCTTTGGCGTGACTTCCTAACAGGGTTATGATTGGTGGGAGCAAAGTGCCGTCTGTGGAGCTGAGGTTGTATATACATCCATCCTGTGGGACATCACAGTCTTCACCCAGAACATCTCTGTGACAGACGGTAAGAGAGACCCAATATCCTGGGAGAAAGCCACTAGTGTGAGCCACTTGACTAGTGAGGGAAAATGAGTTCCCTTTCATTTGTCTGTGAAAATCTGGCAATTAGGTGAAATGAGGGGAGGATTCCAGATTGGGAGAATTTGGCTTCATTCCCATTTTGTCATTTGGAGTAGCTATATTTCTGCCCCATAATTTTTTCTTTGTAGTATATTGATAAAAACTTACAACTCCTGTTTTAGTAATGGGGAGTTGTGTTTTTTTTTTTAATTCAATAAAATCCAAATGCTGATAATGGGGAGATTTGAGCAAACAGTTTTGACCAGAGAAAGTGAAGATGGCTTTGCTGTCCATCATGGTAGCAATGGAGGATAATATTGTTACGAAGTAGCATAATGGAAATTTGCGTTTTCTGACGGTAGGTATTGAAATTGATATCTTGAATCTTGTTCTAGTGGGTTTTGTTTCACCTATTTTGAGGCCACTAGGAAGACACACACCTCTAATATAGTCTTCTGCAAAGTATATGCCCTGGTATATTCATTCCTTTTGATATTAACTGATGTTATATAGGAAAGAGGCCAATGGTCATGTAAATTTGGGGAAAAAAATTGAATTAAAATTAAATTAGACTTATTTCCAACAACCGTTTATGTAAGAGAGCCTGTGGTCTATGGTGTTTCTCAAACCTTTCACAATATAACCTCTATCTCATTAAACATACCAGAGGACCAGTGCTCCATGGAATGTTTTTGGGGAAATACTGCTTCGAAATTTAGAAATTGATATAAATGACAAGATCTGTTACACATTTTTTACAATGATAGCAAAAGAAAGTAAGGACATTTGAGCTAGAATGGAGGAAGTGTAGCATAAAAGGACTGTTGAACCAACTTAAAACAGTTGACATAGACTTAAGCATAAATAATTATCTTGAAAGTAAAAATGCGTGATGTATTATTCCTCGTTGTGGTCATCTGCTCATTCTCACATCACTGTTCCTCATTCCTTTGAAGATTTAGTTCCTGGCTCACTGTCTTTCTCTCCAAGAGTAATGTGTCCTAATTCTTGGTGATTTTAAGCCCACACAGGTGGCCTTTCAATACTCTGGCTTCTCACTTTCTTAATTTCCTCTCCTTCAGTGATCTTGTCCCCCAACTTTTCAGTCATGTCCTCCCGTGGTCGTGTTGTGGACCTAGTCATTAACAATAACTGTTTCCCTCTATGACCTTGATTTCAAACATCCCATTCTCCACCAGTCCCCCCACCCCAACGAATGTTTAACTCCATCTAGACATTCCACTTTTCTGCTGCCCAACGCTTCCCTCATATCTCACATCCTTCCGTACTCAAAGTAAATAGCCTACCCTATCACTAAAATCGCCCATACATTCACCTCCCTTCTCCCTCCTTCTTGCTTTGTTGTACTTGGCTGTGTAAACCCCAAAGCCTTGGTCTGCCTATTTCATGCCTGTATCTGTCCAGCTGAACATAGCAGGGGAAGAATAGCCAGCCATGCTCAATGGTCTTACTTTAACTCTTTGATTGCTAACCTCAGTGGGCCCCCACTGTTTTCTGGCAACTTGGACAATCAATTCTCAGGAAGATATTTAAGACATATTTCTCTTTAAACTTCGTGTTCCTCTTCTCCTATTCTCCCTCTCAAATGATGACCCTGTTTCCTTTTTCACTGATAAAATAGAAATACCTAAAAGAGAACTTCCATAAGCGCCCATCATGTCTACCCATCTACCTGCACCTGCAGCTGCACCTTTCGTTCTGGCTTCTTGTCTTCCTCCCCGGATGAACTGTCTGTCCACATCCAGTCTAAAGCTTACCTTGTAGTTATGTTCTTAGATTCCATCCCTTCTCACTTACTCAAGGATATTCTGTAGCCTTTGTTTCTTCTCTTCCCTGCATTACAGATTCCCCCCCACCCGCTTTACTTAAAAAAATTCGACTCCCATTTCCTCTAGTTACCACTCCATTTCATTTCCCAGTTTCCTTTTATACAATTTCTGTGTTTACTTTTTGTCTTGATCTCATTTCAGTCAGGCTTTGGTTCTCACTATTCCTCCAAAACTGCTTTGAATGTCACCGGTGACCGCCATCTTGCAAATCCAGCAATCAGTTCTCTGTCCTCGTCTTACTTGACCTGTCAGTAGCATTGACGCAGTTGATCATGCTTCTCTGTGAAACACGTGGCCCGCTTTAGCGTCTTTTGAGTGTCCATGTTTTCCCAGCTGCATTCCAGTTGCCATGACCACTCTTATCAGTCCTTCTTGCAGATACCTCTTCATTGCCCTGACCTCCAAACCGCAGGTGTCCCAGGGCACAGTCCTTGGACTGTTTCTCTCTCTGCCCTCACTCCCTTGCTAATCTCATTCAGGCTTTAACTACGTTCATATGCTGGTAACAATCAAATTTATGTTTCCAGTGTGAACCTCTCTCCTGAACTCTAAATTTAAATATCCAACTGCTGAGTGTCTTATAGGCATGTCAAACCTAACATGTCTACAGCTGAGCTCCTCTCCGCTCACAACCAAACTTTCTTCTTCTGTAGTCTTCCTCGCCTCAGTAAAGGGCAACTCTATTCCTCCAGTTGCTCAGGCCAGACTCTTTGGCACCATCATCATCTCTTCTGTCTCTCACCCTCTACACATCCAGCTGTCAAGAAACACTGTCAGCTCTACCTTAAATACATCCAGAAGATGACTGCTTCTCACCACCTCTACCACTCCCGTACTGGTCCAAGCCTTCATCATTTCTTTATTAAAATAGCCTTCTGACTCGCTTCCCTGCTTTACAGCTTCTCCCCATAACCTGTTCTCCAAACAGCGGCCAGTAAATTATTGAAAGCTCTAGGTCTGATCGTGTTACTTTTCTGCTCCAATGACTGCAGAGCCTCTCTTTACAGAGGCTGTTCCGCTGCTACATGATATCCCCCCGTTACCTCTGACCTAACCTTTTGCTGCTCCCCTCACTCACTGCTTTAGCTACACCAACATTCTTGGTCCTACGTCAGGTTTTGCAGTTACCGTCCCCACAAATAAGCACATGACTTGCATTCTTACCTCCTTCAGATCTTTGCTAAATTGTCGTCTCCTCAGCTACCCCTTCCCTGACCAGTCTAGTTCAAATTGCTGCTGTTTCTCTGTGCCTTACCTCCCAGCACTTCCTGTCTTTTCAGTATTTTATTTTTCAGTCACCATCTGATAGATATTTTACTTGTTTGTCTCCCTTCTTTCGAAGATGAGCCCCATGAGGGTGGAATTTTTGTGTTTTGTTCACAAACGTGGGAAAGTGGGCTGGGCAAAGGGAGGGTGTGGCAGTTACTGACTTGCCTAACGTGCTCTTCTCCTGTTGCCTCCCGACCACAGAGATGGGTAAGTGACTCAAGCTGGAGCCATCTTCGTATCCTGTCCTTCTCAGGTCCTAATCCTGGGGTGGGCGTGGGATCTAAGCCAGGCCAACTGGAGTTTTCCTTGGGATTTTGGTTTTTCTGACTGGAGGTGGCAATAAAGAAAGAATTCATATCTTGTCATGGATCCTCTTAGCTGTTAACAGACCATTAGACAAAAGATAAATACAGCCATGTACTATAATGACACAGGAAAGACTGCATACACTATTAAAATATAAAGAATAAGACTACCACTATTAGAACTCTAATCTCAAAATACCTAAGACACCAAGTTATTAATGCCTTTGGAAGACTTACAAAAATTGTCCCTATACGAGGGGACAAAAAAATGAATAATACAAGAAGAATATTAGAGCAGATACAGAGGAAAATTTTAAGTGACTACCATAAAGTGCTAATAAATAAACTGTAAAACTTTCCGTGTGTAAGACACTAAAGAAAGTTATTTTGACTTAGTTTACCTGTTTGACTGACTAATTCTTCTTAATGTTCATGCAATAGTTACTTCCATGCTACGTAACTTCCACAGCTCAGAAAGATCACATAGATATATTTGAGAGGCTTATATAACCCTCATTAAAACCTAATAGCCAATACAAAAATTTTAAAATGTTTACTGTCAGTTATGAGAATCAGTGTAAGATCTGCAAATAAGATTTTAAAAAGAGCTATCTACTGTGACCAAATAGGACTTACCCGCAAGAGCACAAAGACGATTCAATATTAGGGAGTTTATGTGTAAACTACATCATATCAATAGTTTCTTTTTTAAGTTTGGACTCAGTCCCATGGAACATTTAATAACATTTATCACTCATTTCTGGTAATCTCTTAGGAATCATATTTCCTTACTCTGGTACCAAATATTTGTTTTCAACCATTATCACATTTTTTAGTAACGGCAAAACCCACCAGCATTTCCACCAACATCAGGAGTGGTGACATGCTACCTACTAACGTGTTTGTATATGTTCTAGCAGGTGCGATGAGACAGGAAAGTAACTAGTTATTAGAGGAGGAGATAACACCAACATTTTATAGGCAATATGGTGATAGACCTGTGAAATCCTGAAAATCAGTTATAGAGCTGTTAGAATTAATGCAATTCCATGAAATACACAAATGATAAGTTTATATTTAGTGCAATAATTGGAAGTTTAAGATAATAGCTTTATTTCTTATGGCTAGAAAGAAACTAACGTACCAAGAATAATTCAAAGAGGAAATGTGTATTTTCAGGATTTTCTCCAATGAGTATATATAACTTTGTTGCCAGGAAATAAATAATAGATGTTAAGAAAGCAGAATATAAGTTTTCAATACTTAGAGGTAAGAAAAATCTAGTACTGGCACTCAAGCTCAGCTGAATTTGGTCAGTTGTAGGCTTTCCCAGCTAACTCAATAAGGAAATTTGAATGCTTGATTTGAGAACTTTAATTAGATTAAATATGATTAAAAAGCAACTTAAATCTATTATTTCCAAGTATTTCTGGGAGGAAAACTAGGTTTGAAATTTCTTTCAAGAATATACTTCATTTTTTTTTTTCCAGTCCTTATTTGATTAGAAGTTCTTTGAGGGA